CTGACGTTAGTAAGTGAGGACTCCTGAGTGGTGAAGTCTGGGTAGTACAGTCAATTAAGGAGTTAAAACTGAGTGACAGTATCTTAGGGGCTGCAAGAGATTTGCATTTTTCTACCCACAGGATTCTGTGATAGGGCACCTGTCTCAGCAGACAACCAAAAAATCCAGTGCAGGACCATAGTGCACTTACCTTCCCCACTAAGGAAAAAAAGTAATGCTTTAAGCATGTGTCCATTCCATGTACACCTTTTCACTGCATAGCAACATATATATGTGTGCATGTGTGTGTGTGTGTGTGTGTGTGTGTGTGTATCAATATATAAACTTGAGAGAAGTAGGCAATGTAGGCTAATAGATAAACAGAAACCACAAAGGATTATTAGAATCACTACCTCCATGGATTAAAAAATTAGAGGAGGCATTACATTATATTAGATTACAGCTAACATTTTAAACACAGAGCACTAGTATGAGAAATATGTATTAAGATTGTGTTCCATATTTTCCTCAAAGAATTAAATCAAGTTCCTATTAATATTTAAATATCAAATAATGATGATCTTATCAGTTACCTTGCACCAGGATTCTTTCTTTAACACTTCACTTCTTACAGTCCAGGCTGCATGTTAAGAGATGCCTGCGCTGATTCAATATATCCTAGTATTAGTAGGATAGTAGTAAGTAGTATTGCCAGTATTTGTCAGCCGGTATAATGGTACATGTCAAAATTTGGGGAAACTTGTAAGTATTAGTACTATAATAACATAGAAGCCATCAGACCACATTTCATAGTTTTATTGAGACTTTTTCAGTTTTAACTGTCTATGGTAGGTACAATTCTAATGACCATGATTATATCAAAGCTCTGCTGTTATTAGCAACAGCAACCATGATTATATCAAAGCTCTGCTGTTATTAGCAACAGCAGATACGAAGTTGGCTGCCATGCCATGGACACACACACACACACACACACACACACACACACACTGCAAGCTGTACACTCCTGCATGCAAACTTATAGGAAATATACATTCCTTTTAAAACACAATTATGCACAATTAGTCTGGAATCTGTTAAGCTACCATTGATTTTGATAAACCTGAGAAAGCTCACAATGTCAAGTAACACTGTTTCCATACTGCTCATTCAATGGCACTATTAATCACAAAGAAATCTAGTTCAATTATCTATATTAAAATTACAGATATTATAAAAATAAACATTTTGGCAAAAGCACTAAAACATTCTAGAATTCAAATTCACAATTTTTGATATGTAACATATATTCCCCTTCATATTAACTTGTAATGATGTGTATAATACAATGTACAACAGAACTAAAAAACTGAAACAGGATTCAGCAGCTAAATAATATACAGTTATTACTGTAAAACTTGGAATTAAAGTTATCAAATGAACAAAGAAAACAATAAAATTACTAGCAGTGTTGAACTTGCTGGTAGTGTGTTACTTAGAAACTCCATCTCAAAGAAATTAAGATTATACTATTTCACCTTGAAACACAAAATAAAAATTGAAGCGGAATTGAGCACAGTAACTGATTACATCAGCTGCCTCTTTCTCTCCCCATCTCCCTAAAGTATTTCCTCAAATTCTAATGTTGTATCTGTAATGCCCATCTCACCAGACTTCTAAAACGTAAAGATCTCCTTTGAATTTAGGACAAGGCTTTTGCATTTGGAAATGGGAAGCTCTGACTGTATTTGGGGACACAATTCCAAATGTATTAAAAAGACAATATAAACTTTTCTACAATAGTATATAAAATGTAGACAGTACAGACCCAGTCTGGCTAAGATATTTTGTATTTACTATCGATTGACACCAAACTGTGTCTATGTAGAAAGAACCCTAAATAAAAAGATAAACGTGCAAAAGCATTTGTAGAGAAAATGAATCACTGGTATCACAAAACAGATTTTCGTATTTTAGATAAAAGAAATCTGAAGACTTAAAAATTTCAAGATACTGATATTTGGAAAGCATCATAATATACAGTAACTCTCATTTTTTATGCATCATATATTATGTAAAATATGCCAGTGTGACATATTAATATTATACATTGTAATAAATATAATTCACCTCAGTATGTTGGAACTTTCAAGAAAGTTCTTCAGTCCGTACAATGGAAGGGCTGTGAGCTTCATCAATAAATACTATTATGATAGTTACAATTTGACCAGCAAAGTTAAAGCTTCACTATATCTCTAACTAATAACAAATCTTTATTGTCACTAGTCCAATTCCAGCTGCTACAAGCTGCTACAGTGCTATAAGCACTGACATCTCTTGTATCCAAAGGCAGTGTAGTGCACTGCCCTGAGGAGACTGAGAAAACCTACAGGTCATATCCATATCACAGTTGGTGAACTTTGTATGAATTTTCAGTCAAGGACTGGAATTGAACAGTCCTGGAAAATACAGTAGCAGACTTCATGCACCTCTGGCTTTACCACATCCCCTAAGGCCCCAACAGATGGATGTCATCTAACCCTTTTAATCCACGGAGAGTGGGCTTGCCAGGGTCAAGAGTTCCACAGCTGGCCAAGTGGCAGTGTCACTATTTTAACTCCAAATCCTACTCTCATGCTGTATCTCTTCTTGGTCTGTGTTTTTAGCATTTCAGTGCAAACACTGATGCAAACAAGTGCAAACATTGTTTGCAAACAGGTGCAAACATTGATGTTCAAAGAGTCAAAGATGCCAACTGATGGGCCATAAAATGCCTTGAGCTTGGCATTCAAACAGTTTTGTAGTGTGAAATTTAGTTAACTGATAAGTTCTGTAATTTTGACTCTTTTATCAAAATGCCAGTAGATTTCTGCCTTTACTCTTAAAATACCTACTCTTATCATATATCATGAATCAGATCTTCAGCCAATAGATCACCATTAGCAGACTCGTCCCAGAGACCAATTTGTGCCTGAAAGGGGTTGGAGAGATCATCCTTGTCACTATTAAGCAGGCATCTGCATGTCATCATTGTCTACCACATGATGTATGAAGCTAAAGAAGAAACACTCTGGAAAAAGCATGCCAAGAAGTAAAAGGGCATTTCTAGTCACTGTTAACCTCCACACTGGACCAAAAGAAAGTTCTCTGGAAGCTGAAACAAGGTACTTAACACATACTGCAAACCAGGCTGGGAAGAACACTAAAGTAAATGGTGAGGGAATATTACAGAAATGTGTACCATTAGTCTTCGAGTTTAAGGATGATGCGGGCTTTGACATTTCCATTTTGGACAATTTAGTGATATTAATTGTGTCTCACTGAACGTGATATTTGACAGGGGTAACACACTCATGACATATCTTAGTCTTTTTCTTTTAGGATTCCACAACAGACAACACTGCAGGGCCCTAACCAAATGAGAACCTAGCTAACCCTTCTCTTTTCTCAAAATGGGGAGGTGTAGGTAGGACATCTAGAAGGTTTCTTCTTGATTTGGTTTCTATAATTCTGTGCTTTAAGACTGAACATGTGAAAAAGCAGCACTCTTTAGGATGGCTAAACACAGCTTTTCTTCATTGATCTTAGTGGCTGGAGCAAGTCTAGGAAGAAACTTTAGGGCTCACAAATCTGCAGTCCACTGAGGTCCTGCAAGAACTGAAGCCCAGCTCTGACTTCCCTGTCACCAGGTCCCACAGGGCGCTAAGGTTCTCACCCTGAGGCACAGCCCCAAACTGCTCTACATATAAAGTGCTTCCAAACAAGTTACCCCACCATCAGTTGCAGACTTTGATATTGGCTTTGTTGGGGGTACCTTCACCATTAAAAATTCCTTTGACACTGGATTTATTTATCTGGTGTTGGAAATTGTCACCTCACCTCATTATTCGGCATTATATCGAATTTGACCATTTCAAAGGCTAGAAATGCTGCAATTCAATATTCGCTGAAAATCGTTATTAAAGTTATTGAAGTATTTTACAGATTTGTCATTACTGCCTGGCAGAGGGAAAATATAAAAGAAAACACTGTCTGGTGGTCTTCTCTTAAACTATTACTAGTCTGATTAGTGGTTTCTATACCTTACTTTTTAAACTAGTCTGATTATTAGTTAAACTAGTCTGATTAGTAGTTAAACTAGTCTGATTAGTAATTTCTATACCTTACTTTTTAGTGCTGTGGTACTTCAAGTACTTAAATTTAATTCCTCATATTTCCCTTTCCCATAGTTTGGAGTTTTTTCCTTCAAATATGAGGATGTAAGATCCAGTGAAGCATTACAGCATCTCATTCTATCAACACAACCCCTACAAATTCTGCCTTCTTCTTTTTATATTGCATTTAATGTTTTCCAGCATTTGGAAGGAGCAAAAACAAAACAAAACCAAAAGAGGGCCTTTACACCATAATTAATTTAAACTAAAGTCCTTATTCTAAAAATGTCTTCTCCCCACTCCCAGTTGCCTCATACATTCGAGAATATGTTTGCCGGCTATGCATTATGGATGACTGTCAGCCACTCTCCCGCCTGCCCAACATCCCTCAACTCGCTAACAGTTATTCAACCTTGGTCTGTAATTTATCTGTGATTTTTAAAACTGTTTTTACAGATGGAAGTGAGCATTTGTACTGGCACACAAACACACTCCTAGGGCACTGCACAGCAGTGGTGCAATTAAATGCTCTTTGTCACAGGAAGTCTAACAGAGTTCATGGTGTTTACAAAGGAAAGTACATGCACTTTGATTATTTTGAAGGCATTTCACCTGTAAGATAATATATACAGGATTCCACCACCAAACATTTAGCACCCAACACAGAGTGAGCAGTTTTCTAGAAATAACTGGGAGATAATCACTTTTTAGACTTGTAAATTCATTGACTTGACTTTTCTATTTAATTCTCCAAAGTAATTCAGCCAGCCATCACCTATGCTTACAGGACCAAGAGACACCCAGCTGCAATCTGTTCATCTGCTACTGAGTGAACCGAGTTTAGTATTTTGCTGTACTACAGTAATTTGAGGATGTGAAGTTTCAATTTGTTCCCACCTCAGATTATTAAAAACAAATAAAGACTAGATGAATCACAAACTCAAGTTTCAGGTGGTCAGTTTTCTTGGAGAAGTTATTAATATCCAAATAGCTCCAGTACCCATGTAAACTTTAAACAGAAGAGCTTGCAAATTTTAAAGGCAGAAGGGAAAGTAAATATTTAAGGATAGTATTATTTTATGTTACATACTTCTGGTGAGAAAGAAGGAAGTCCTTGAAAGCAAACCCAAACAAACTAGTGTGGGTGTAGGCATTTCCACTTCTCTTTCTTTTTTTTAAACTCACTGCTTTCTTGGTCTGAATTTTCTCTAATCTTACTAGAAACTTAAAGGGGAAAAAAAACACTTGGCTCTATTAAGCATCCTACCATGTTACAAAGTGGGTGTTTGGGGATTCTTGCGTCTTCACAAGCTTGTATTTCCGTTCTGCTTGAACTCGGATAAAATATTGAGAGTCATGTCTTCACTCTTGGACTGCAAATTTGCCTCACTTCTTCTGGAAGCTTTCCTGGTGGCTCGGGAGAGTCTCCTTCTGAAAGTATCTCCTGCCAAGAAATAGAGAATGGGGTCCACACAACTGTTGAGACTTGCTAGACCTCTTGTCACCTGATAAGTGGCATAAACCCTGTCATTGAAAGCACACATTTCTGGGGTCTGAAAATCCAGCCGGGCCCTCAAATTCATTGTTTTCATCACGTGGAAAGGGATGTAAGACACAGCAAAAACAGTCAGTACAATAATCACCAGGTAAATGGATTTCCTCCTCAGAGGCGAATTGTCCAGGTCTTTGTAAATCAAAGCTCTCACAATTAATCCGTAACAGCCCAAAATCAGCACCAAAGGGACACAGAACATGGCCACGGTCGTGCACATGCTGTAGATGAAATAACTTCGCAGGTACTCGTCTGAGGTGGTGTCATAGCAGGTGACGGTTTTGTTTTTCCGGATCCCGGTGCCGGAATAGAAGAGGATGGGGGAGATCCCCACCACCACGATGAGCCACACCAGCACGCTGATATAGACTGCGTTCTTCTTCTTCAGCCTGCCCAGGGACTTGAGCGGGTACACCACACCGCTGTACCGGTGCGCGCTGATGCAGGTCAGGAACAAGATGCTGCCATAGAGATTCACATGGAAGATGAACCTCTGCAGCTTGCACATGGCATCGCCGAAGATCCAGTCGGTCTTATTGAAGTAATAGAAGATGAGCGCCGGCAGAGTCAGCACGTACAAGAAGTCCGCCAAGGCCAAGTTGAACATGTACACGGAGATGCCGCTCCACGGCTTCATGTGGAAGACGAACATCCAGATGGCCACGCTGTTGCCCAGGAAGCCGACAATGAACACCAAGATGTAGACAGCTGGCAGGTAGTAGAACTGGAAGCCCGTCTTGGTCAGCGCGCATTTGAACGGAGAGGCGACGGCGGCGGTGGAGGCCACTGTGCTGTTCCCCCAGGGCGAGCCCGGGCCGGCCAGGAAGGCAGCGTCCGTCCCATTGGGGACCGCCGGCCACAGCACCTCGGTCATTCTCTCCTCCCCGACTTAGGCGGCGGCTCCAAGGGGCAAGCGGCGGCAAGAGGGCGGCGGCGAGGGGCGCAGCGAGCATCGGAAAGGCGGGCGAGCAGGCGGGAGGGGGCGCCGGGGAACTCTGCGGGAGGGGTCAAGCAGGGGCTCGCCCACGCCGGCTCCGGCCCCGCGTTCGCCGCGGGCCATGAAATCTGCCCCGGGCCGCGACCGAACCGGGCTGGCCGGAGGACCTGCAACTTCCCGGTGAGGCTGGCAGCGCCGAGGTTACACAACAGGGCGCTAGGGACACCGCCGCCGACAACTTTCCGACTGCGCTTTCCCGAGGGACCGCGGGTTCGCGCCGGAGAGCGCGCCGGGGGCTCAGTGAGGTCGAGCCAAACTCGCTGAGGTGGGGAGGGCGCGCCCCAACCTCCTTCCCCCAAAGATCAACTTCGTTTGGGCATCTTCCTGCGCCCTACCTTGCAAGCCAGCAGCTCGGCTCTAGGGCCCGCGCCGCTGCCTCCGCGCCCCCGGCGCTCAGCCTCTGGGGGCCATCGGAGCAAGCGTGGTCGCAGACTCGTGTGCTTCTGGATCGCGTCCGGCTCGCCGTCTGTGTTAGCTCGCAGGCTCTTCTAGAGACCTGCTCGAGTGCAGGCGGCGGGAGGGCGAGCCGGGCTCCCCGCGAGGATGGGCGGAGTTTGGGCACCCGGGTGAGTCCGCGCTCCTCCGGGAGGCGAGGGGCGTGCCTGCGCGAAGTTCGCCCGGGGCCGGAGGCGTCTTCTGGGAGAGCCGGTCTTCACCAGAGTCGGCGGTCAGGGCGCGCTCGGTCAGGGTCAGGGGTAGGGCTGGCTGCTGGAGAGCGATTGGTCCGAGAGCGCTCCTTGGCTCTTCCGCCAGCTATCTCGGCAGAGTGATGTTGCTGACACACAGGAAACCCCTCTGACCGCTCAGAGCCTTCTGCCTACAACCCTGGAGCGGACCGGAATGAGACTCAAGTCTCCAGGGCCCTCAAGAACGACGCCAGGTGTTTGCACGTTCCAAGCAGCCTGTAGTCCCCAACTGGGAAAGCCCTGGCGTTGCAGTGCTCAGCGCTTCACCAGAGACCGGATGCCTGGCACTTGCAGGAACCTGCTGCTCCCAGAAAGCTTTCAAAGGAGGGAGGGTGGGGAGGGAAATGGGGAGAGTCTCTTTCTGTCCTTCTAGTCTGCCTTTCCCCTTTTATTTCAATATGGTTTCTCTTAATTAACCAAATGCTAATAAACCGACGTCAATTGGTAACATCAACGTGAAAATTTCTAAAAGGGCTTTGTAAAAGTGTTAGTAGTTGATACTTGACGTTGCTTCAGCACAATTTGTTACCTACCAATTACAGACAACGCAGGGGCCCCAAATCCTCCTGTCCAGTACATTTAATTAAAGATCAAAGTCTGCAATAAAAAAATAAATAAAAACATATTGTTCAGGAAATAACTTGAATATTAAATATAAATTTATATAGATAGATGTAAAGACAATTTCAACTCCAAAGTGATTAAGGTGTGGTTTGGGGGTTGTATTACCAATCCTATTTCTTTAGGTTAAAATGATTGGTCACAGGGCTTCCCTGGTGGCGCAGTGGTTGAGAGTCCACCTGCCGATGCAGGGGACGCGGGTTCGTGCCCCGGTCTGGGAAGATCCCACATGCCGCGGAGCAACTGGGCCCGTGAGCCACAATTACTGAGCCTGCGCGTCTGGAGCCTGTGCTCCGCAACAAGAGAGGCCGCGATAGTGAGAGGCCCGCGCACCGCGATGAAGAGTGGCCCCCGCTTGCCACAACTAGAGAAAGCCCTCGCACAGAAACGAAGACCCAACACAGCAAAAATAAATTAATTAATTAATAATAAACTCCTACCCCCAACATCTTCAAATAAATAAATAAATAAATAAATAAATAAATAAAAGAAAAAAAGTGTTATTCCCAGAAGCCTTCTATCAAGAGAGAAAATTTTGAGCCAGGTCTTGAAGGTACTGATAGTCAGAGTATTTCAGAAGCTTCCCAAATGTTCTGCTCTCCTTAGGCTTTTTAAAAAATAGCCAACAATTTATATATAATTTGAGAAGTGGCAGACAATTCTAGGAAAGTCAAACCTGTTCAGTTTCAGACTCATAAACAAAAAGGCTGCCCTTCTTGTTACAAAGTTTCTAATAACCATCTTTACAAAGGTTCTTCTTTCCCTTTTTCTTAAGTCACAGAAAATCCAACAATCATTAAGGATGGAAAGATTATTGAAAACATTTGAATCGAGGGCTACAAGCATAAAAAGAAAAAACTTCTGATAAACATAAAATGTAAAGGGTAGGGCTTCCCTGGTGGCGCAGTGGTTGAGAGTCCGCCTGCCGATGCAGGGGACACGGGTTCGTGCCCCGATCCGGGAAGATTCCACATGCGGCGGAGCAGCTGGGCCCCTGAGCCATGGCCGCTGAGCCTGCGCGTCCGGAGCCTGTGCTCCGCAACGGGAGAGGCCACAACAGTGAGAGGCCCGCATACCGAGAAAAAAAAAAAAATGTAAAGGGTGGCAGAGAGAAGGGAGAGCTAATGGGTAGGCCAACTCAGGATTTTGCAGGTGAGAGAGGATGAGACTCTGCTTTGGGAGACAAGGGAATCCTTTGAGAGATCCCTCCAAGAATAATAACTAAAGTGTGATAACTTCTGAGATATACCTTAAGAAAGTGAGGAGACTCTTCTATTCTCCAAGAAGAATATAGAAGAAAGAAAGAAGAAAGAAGCCCAAGGAATTCACAGCTGGTATCCTCCAGTGAGTTAGAGGTGAGAGGGCTAAGGTGGGGCAGCAGTGGAAAAAGCACACAGAGAAAGGATGAAAGACAGTCCTGTGCTGGGCAGGGCCCAGCTGCTCCTATAAATGATTCATTTGTCATGGATCCAGTCAGTAGGGGTCCTGAAATTTATTTCATTAAGAATCACCTCAGGAGTATAGGACACAGAATAGGAGACAGCCTGGTTGCTCCAGGGTTGGAATGAATAAGACGAGAGGAGATTTAGGGACCAGGGAGGCTGAGGAAAGAGGGAGGGGAAAGGAAAGGGAGGAAGGAGACGAAGGTGCAAGAGGGTAACCGTGTAGGGGAGAAGAGAAAGCAAGGTGCTTGCACACAACTGATAGGGAGCTTTGGAAATCTCACAAAGCATTGCTTTCCAATTATTTAGGTTTGAATCTGGGTAGCTGTGGGAGGAGGGGTCTGGGAGGTGGTGAGATGACACAGGCTGAGGGGTCCCGTGGTTAGAATAATGTGCCGTTTGAGTATTTGCCCCTTGGTAGATGACACTGAGCTCAGTTTTCTTTTCTTTCTTTTTGTTTCAGTTCAATGAAGTTTCTTCTTTTTTTTTTTTTTGGAAGTATAGTTGATTTTTTACAATGTTGTATTAGTTTCAGGTATACAGAAAAATGATTCATATATATGAGTATATATATGAATGAATATATATATACATATATATATATATATATATGGGCTAGGTTTTCCATCTGCGTGCTGTCACTTACAAGGACATGTAAAATCCCAGGCCACCTAAATCTTTTCATCCTTCACAAAATTTCTTGCTCCCAGAAATTAAGAATATTCAAGGAAACTGCTTCCCTATAGTGCCATTTTTAGTATTTACTTTCCTTATTCCCATCCACATGAAGCCCTAGTCCTAGTCTCGGTCACTCTGTAATAGTTTTAAAAGAATTTATGTTAAATCCAGAATAAAAATGCCAGTCCTGGCTTGTCGTCTTTCTCTAATCATTATATATTATAAATATTCCCTTTGCTCTCTTTGTATCTGACCTCTCTGGTTTGACAAAAGCATGTCTCACAACAGTTACTGATAATAGATGGGAAATGCTATATTACGTGCCAGTTTTTCTACAATTTTCTTTTTTAATTTTAAAATTATTTATTTATTTATTCTTGGCTGCGTTGGGTCTTCGTTGCTGCATGCGGGCTTTCTCTAGTTGTGGCCAGTGGGGGCTACTCTTCGTTGCAGTGTGCGGGCTTCTCATTGCAGTGGCTTCTCTTGGTGTGGAGCACGGGCTCTAGGCACGCGGGCTTCAGTAGTTGTGGCTCACGGGCTCAGTAGTTGTGGCTCGCAGGCTCTAGAGCACAGGCTCAGTAGCTGTGGCGCACGGGCTTAGTTGCTCCGTGGCATGTGGGATCTTCCCGGACCAGGGCTCAAACCCGTGTCCCGTGCATTGGCTGGTGGATTCCTAACCACTGCGCCACCAGGGAGGTCCCTACAATTTCATTATACACTTAGCTTTCTCAGGAGATAGGAAATAAATATTTGTAAAGCCTGTGGGTGCAGAAGTATCTTTAAAGCCAGTTACCCATATCCAAGATCTTACACCATACTCATGGACCCATGGAGGGTTTCCATGGTAGCACAAAGGGTAAAAATATGACATTATTTGAGTGTTATTTGTCATTGTTATTATATCCACCATACATAAATTGTTGATTTCTGATACATCCATGTTTTGAGTACATAAGCTAAATCCCAAATGGGTAAATGAAAACCGTGTGTGAAAATAAAGAAATACCTGTTTTCCTCATGTTAAGTCACAGATTCCATCAGTTCACTCCTGGGATGTTGATCTCAATTACGTCCTGAGAGTTTCACATTTTTATTTTTCTTTTCTTTTTTAAATTTAAACATTTTTTTAATTGAAGTATAGTTGATTTACAACATTGTGTTAATTTCTGCTGTACGGCAAAGTGATTCAGATATATATATACAACACATCACTCAAAACTATTCCCTTAGGGTAAAACAGACTTGGATCTGCATTAATCCCAAACATTCTGTCCTTCTAGTGTGGAGTGCATCGTCCCAAATAAGCATCTCCATGAAGATCCTCTCTGGCTCCCCACGTGTGCTCTCCTTATCTAAGGGATGAGGTGGAAGGGCAGCATGCATAACCACCACCCCCATGCATTTTATTTTCCTGTATGTCTCATCTGTGACTGCCTGCACACACTCAGACATACATACCCTGTCTTATCTAGTCCTGTGAATCCTCCCTGAGTATTAAAGCTCAGAGTAAAAGTTAATTCGTGTCACAGACACGGAGTTTACCCTTTCCCTTCCACTTTCTTTTCTTTTTCTTTTTTAGGCTAGAAAGAATTTTTTTTTGTTGAACTATATTTGATTTACAATGTTGTGTTAATTTCTGCTGTACAGCAAAGTGACAATTATATATATATATATATTCTTTTTTTCATATTTTTTCCACTATGGTTTATCATAGGATACTGAATATAGTTCTCTGTGCTATATAGTGCTGTACACATTTTTCAAGATTAAACCTAATAGCAGTTGTTGTCATTCAAACTTCAGATTTTAGAATTTGGCTT